CTGGCTTTCAGTCAAACGTGGGATTACATGTGGTCGTCGAACACGCAGATGAGCTGCATGATGTCGAATGATCAACCGGAAAACACCAGTAATCATTGGCTGTTTATGTTCTATATTCAACAGAGCCAGGGTCCTGCGAATGTCCTGAACATGATTGATCTCTTTAGTTTAGAATCTGTTCCAATATCTGCTTATCACACAGATTGTGACACACTGAGTGTTGTGACAAAACTAAATGTGCATTTATTAAGTGACCATACATTCAGTGGTATTATTTCTTATTGCAACCTCCGTCGTTTCGGAACAAAACGTGTATCATTCAGCAATATTCCAGCTATATGGTGGCGGCCTATAAATAATCGAGTTTGGAATACAGTGACTGACATTATGAGGATCGGTCAACATCGTCCGGTACGATGACTTACTGTCAGTCAAGTAACCAAGCCTTACGACCAATCTTTTCAGAGACCTCATGCTATTTAATCACAGTTTTGACATTATGTATATAGATCAAGATGTACATGTGTCGAACGTGTCAGTATTACGTACCTACACAGTGATCACCCGTGTAATAACATTTCACATTTATTGCACATTATGTAATATCGACATCTGCGGCCGGGACGATGTTTTGCATCAGCTGGTCTTTCGAATGGAGGCCTCGGCAACACTAAGCAACTGTACTGTGGAACGTCTACTCTACTCCGGATTCTCCAGAAAACACCAGTAATGCATACGCACTACGAACGCATATAAAAACTGTATCATCAACATATTTTTCTTGATTATATCCGGTCAAAAGTATCAATCAACCCTCGATCTACAAGTAAGTTTAAAACAGCTTCTACTGCTACATAACATTATTCACAACAAGAAGTTGATAAAAAAAAACTCTGTGAATGTCTTATGTGAACGTAAGAACTTAAAAGAATGTCGTGGTATGTAACTAGCTACTTGTCCAAGTTCATACTTCATTTGGTGAACTGACACATTACTAATATGTCATAACTGGGACTTGTTATTTTTTGTGATTCAGTGGTCGTTGTTCACGTGAACAACTGATTTGCCTTTGCATGTGTTTGCATGGGTGCTACTGGTGGGGCAGGTTACCCTAATCTTTTCGCGATTATCGTCATCATCACGATTATTTAGTGATTCATAAACACATCCTCGATATGGAGATTTCTTATGATTATGGAAAGGCATTTGTTGCTTTAATTAATAATTATTTATATTATACAAGTATCAGTTCCTCAAGAGCTACTATATTTCAATGAGACCTCAACATACCTTCAAAGATTCATAAACATATCAAGAAGAGGCGCGTCTGCAGTTTGAGTTACACTAGAGGTGAAATGGTGTTTAAAGTCTAAAGTCATTTTCCTTTTAGGGCTAACAACAATTCGAGTTATACGGTAAACGTTAAATCTGGATAATGTTGTTTAATATTATTGTGCATGTTTACCAGATGTCAATAGAATTGTTCCATGATGTCAGGGGTCAGGTTTAAAGCTGTACGAGGGATTGTATTGCATATTGAATGTGCTATGAGTGAGTGAGTGAGTTGGGTTTAACGCCGCTTTTAACAGTATTCCAGTCATATCGCGGCGTGTCAGCTTAATGTGGGAGGAAAGCCCCAAGTGATGCAGGCCTCAGACGTTTACCACTTTGGTGAAACCCACGAGCACGGGTATGGTGCTGACAAACCTAGAAACATAATTGGGGCAAACCGGGATTCGAATCCGCAATCATAGGTTTCTGGCGTGCCCAAGGGACGCAACTCTGCACAGCGAATCGCGGCGCCTTAGACGACTGGGACACCCGTGCCCCCGAATGTGCTATGAGAAGCGGTACCGGACAACTCTACGATGAGTGAGACCCGTCGTTTGTTTCACTTTCATTTTCCTTGCTTTTTCTGAATGAATATATTTTGCGCTCATGCACCGAATTGTTTCATGACGTGAAGTTGATATATATACGTTGATGATAAAATGAAAAATCGTATATAGAGGAGTTGTGCAATTCTTGGTTAGTCCGTATCTTAAGTTATCACAAGGTTCAATGAATACATATATTTCCAGTCTTGTATCAGCAGTAGTTAAAATACATATTGCCTCAGCTCAAGATTACAACTCATCTAAATTAGATATACATGTATGAAAGTTACTAAAATGATTATCATTTCAGAAATCTAGAAATATCGATTCAATGTGGGTACTCTAAAACCAAGATGCACGTAGCCTGTCCTGTAGTCGGCTATTGCGCACTAATCAGCTTCAGTTTCCATGAGTCAATGAAACGTGGGCAAGTTTGTTTATAGCAAGGAAGTATTATTGCAAATGTGTCAGTTCACGCGATTTAGCGTCACGCACTTGGGGAAGTGGGTAGCCAAGTGGTTAAAGCTTTGCTTCTTCACACCAAAGACCAGGATGAGATAACCAACATAGACGTAATGCGTGAACCTCATGTCTGGTGTACACGGGGATCGATATGGTTGAAAAATACATACGAAAACTGTTTGCATGAGCTGTCGTCGGGAAAACTAATTTACAAGATGTAATTCTGCATAAAACGTAACCATCATGTTGTTTTTTTGTGTGGTATAATGCCGCACTCGGCACTATTCTAGACATACGACGGCTGTCTGTAAATAATCGAGTCTGGACCAGACAATCTACTGATTAAAACCATGAACATCGATCCACGCAATTGGGATACGAAGACATGCATCGACCAAGTCAGCGAGCCTGACCACCCGATTCCGTTAGTCGCCTCTTACGACAAACATGGGTTGCTGAAGAACAAATCTAACCCTAATCCCTAATCCCTATCCCTAATCATTGTACACGAACAAGTACGCGTTTCAATTCATTCATTATAAAACACACACACACACACACACACACACACACACACACACACACACACTGCCCGTCGACAGCACAGTTCTTCTGACAATCTTGGTAATGCAGAAGACTGATGTGCTTGTGGAGTCTGCCTACTCTCTGGAAAGTTCTTGGTGGGTTCGACTAGGCAGCGAGGCTTCCAGTGAGTCCCATGTGCTGTCTGGGCTGCATATAGAGCGGGTGAGAGTACTGAGCTGATAATAAGCCTTTACCCGTCTGACTGCCAGGATCTCCCAAACTCTTTCAGCTTCATTTTACTGAGACTTTGATGTGGTAATTTTCTATTTTTGTATCTTCAGCAGTTGATGCCTTGATCCTATAGTGATGGTTTTTTGTTATCCTTCAACTAATACTGTATAATTCCACATATCCAGATGTGTTTTAAATTGCATCTGAAATATATATAACATATGGGGAAAAATATGTGAACCATTACGCAACGAGTTGACAATTGTTTTAGGTATGCCCGTTTGCGCTAAGATGGAACCCGGTCGCATAAGTGGATATGGGCACGAGTCGCTATTCGGCTTGTCCCGGAATAACACGAGTTGGTCACGAATGCTCACTGTCCACGGTGATACATCCTGGTGACTGGCATGCCAATTTTGCAAACATTCAATTACTATGTGTTGATTATGAATATGATATATTAAACAAAATATACATTGAAAATCACTTTTGCATTTCTTTTTTTGCAGTGTATATAACAGCATTGTCCACATGTCTATCAGAATACTCTCATTGTATCATCCCTCTAGTGTTTACACCTTATTACGCTAATGCATTCCAAATCAAGGTGCAAATGCAACTATTGATATCAAATCACCGATCTAGTACTGGTGCCCATAGTTGTGTGCGTATCTTCAACAGAATAATAATTGGGAGGGTGGAAAACTAGGTGGATGTTAAAGCAAGGGAAAATCTCAACTCCATGTAACAGGAGAAAATTCAATAATTGTTTCTGTCACGTGTCATTTTGTGGAAACGAACGTGATTGCTTGAAGAATCCATCTACAGTATACATGAAGTGTACTGTCATTATAAGAGATGGATATCAATGTGATTTCAGGTGAGTGAGTGGATGGAGTGAGTGAGTGAGTGAGTGATTGAGTGAGTGGGTGAGTGAGTGAGTGAGTGGTAAAAGACCGAAGTGATGAGACCCACGATCATGGGTATTGTGTTGATCAACATAAAAACATAATACTCATACCTGGGAAACGAACCCGGGATCATAACATTCCGGCCATGTCTTATAGTGGTGCAAGTGACATCAAAAGATCATAATCCGGCAATAAAGGAAGTCGAACACATTCGGATCCTGGGACGGTTTAAGGATGCAACTATACACAGCGAGTATCTCATATAGTAATGTTCATCTCTATCTTGTTATGTATTAAATGTCAAGTAGATGACGCGAGACATAAATCAGTAGTTTATATGCATGAGCGAGAATTTTCCCGCTAACGATAGCAGTTAATTTAAGTGAGTGAGTGAGTGTGTTGGGTTTAACGCCGCTTTTATCATTATTCCAGTTATATCACGGCGTGTCAGCTTATTGTGGGAGGAACCCCGAAGTGATGCAGGTCTCAGAAGTTTACCACATTTAAACGTTTAAACATAATCGGGGCGAACCGGGATTCGAACCCACAATCATAGGTTTCTGCCGTTACCAAGGGACGCAACTCTGCACAGCGAATTGCGGCGCCTTAGACGACTGGGCCACCCGTGCCCCCAGTTAATTTAAGAACCTTATTTAAACTGTAAATGTATTTCAGAAAGATCATGGCATGTCAACTTAATACGTTTTTGTATGTCTTAACTGCTTTGGTGACCTCCACGAACACGGTGGTGGCAAACAAAGGATTAAAATCAGGACGTATCAGGACCTTAGACGACAGGACCACCCGCTCCCTTCTTACTTGAATTAGCAAGTGCCAAGGTGCTATGAATATAGTGTTTCAGATTAATGAAAACATAACTATGAACAGATGAGCTGTGTGATGATCACAAATAAGAAATAACAAATACAATAGGTAAATGTAATATTTATTGAAAAAAATTATGTTTTACAAAATGATTGTTGTTCACATAATGTTGTATAGGAAATATAAGATAGAAGCTTCTCAAGGGTACAAGCTACCGCCTCGATCAGCGATGACAAGGCACAGTAACTACATTTTTTTTCTTTCTTTATTAAAAGTCTTCATCACTGCATTGCACAAACTCGGCCATTCGCAAGTTCTGCAATGGACAAGCACGTGTGCTGACGTGATATATCACACGACACAATCAACCATATTCCATAAATGTTAATATCAAACGCCAGGATCTCGCAAGTTTCCCTGTATCGCACATAGGGGTGTCTATGGCTGCACATGGTACTGTGGCCCTCTGTAGAGGAAACTGAAGGGTGGAGAGACGTGTAGATGTGGAACTGTTCCCTCATACGAGGCCGCATCTGGTACTGTGGTCCTCTGTAGAGGAAGCTGAAGGATGGAGAGACGTGTAGATGTGGAACTGTTCCCTCATACAAGGCTGCACCTAGTACTGTGGTCCTCTGTAGAGGAATCTGAAGAGTGGAGTGACGTGTAGATGTGGAACTGTTCCCTCTACCCTCACATAAGGCTGCACCTGGTACTGTGGCCCTCTGTAGAGGAAGCTGAAGGGTGGAGAGACGTGTAGATGTGGAACTGTTCCCTCATACGAGGCTGCACCTGGTACTGTGGCCCTCTGTAGAAGAAGCTGAAGGGTGGAGAGACGTGTAGATGTGGAACTGTTCCCTCTACCCTCACATAAGGCTACCCCTGGTACGTTGGTCCTGTGTAGAGGAAGCTGATGAGTTGAGACATGTGTAGATGTGGAACTGTTCCCTCAGTAGTCGCTCATAATCATGCAGGGATAAGGCATCCTCGTCGTTGATGGCAGCACAAGGTGCATCACTGATGTCACAGGATAGTCTCTCCCCCACCACAGTGAGATATTCACCACATCTATAAATACAACATAACACTCTCATAAACTACAGATGACTTTGACTTCGACAGACGTTGAATGATACATGTGTTTAATTGAGGTTGGCAATGCAAATATGCAATATATTTATATGGTAATATTTGCCCATCTTTCGCAATATAAAATATCAAATACAGGCATTGTTTATTTAGCTGTCAGATAGCTTGTGTAAATGAAGTTTCACACAATAGTGAGCACCTGAACAAGTTGTTCAGTTGGGGCTTGTCCTAATTGCAGTTAATCCATAGTTGAGACCTAACATGAAAACTCTGTTAATTTACCCGAAACATAATAAAATGCATGTACCTTAAGCTGTGTCCCTCTGGAAGTAAAAAAAGGTTGAACTTGTCAAATTATGTAACGAATAAGACTTTGTGCAATGAATTTTCTTTTACAAAATAGGAAAAAACAGGGCTGACGAACCCAAGACTTCAGCGTTTCCAGATACCCGAAAACCGTTAACTTATGGTTGATTGCCTTTTAAGAGAGTAATTTGTTTACTCACCTTTCACGTCCTTGCAGCCAAGAATAGCAACTGCTGCAACAACAACTGTCACAGCGGTGAGTATAACAGAGTAGACGGCTACAATAGGGACGATGTCGTCTACGTTCACATCATCTTCTGCAGTAGGACAAAGGTTACTCACATGTATACTCTACATGAGAACGCCAACCATGCATTACCATATTGCAACCATTCGGGATTCACCACCTAATATTTTATGTTCATTTTAATATACATTTTAATTATCGGATATCAGAAATGTCCATGGAACAAACTATCTCTTGGGGTAACCTGGAACAATTAGCAAACTACGAACCCTATTTTTAAGCTGAGGAAACCCTGACTATATCACATAAAAGTGCAAAAAGAGAAGCGAGCAATGAGCAATGGCTATGGAATCGAATTTTCCCCATCACTCCAGCTTGGAAACGGTGTAAGAGTCTACATCGAAACGTCGCTAAATGAAATAAACCAGAATTTGTCATCTATAAAGTTGTAGGTGTTGTTTTTCACTTACCAACTTCTCGAATGCCTATGACCGTTACTGCTATGCAGGCCCATGGGTTTGTTTCTCAAACATGGCGTTTTACATAACCCTTGTAATGTTTCATGATGGCTCATTTCTATGTTTAAAAAGTGTCGTTAAAAATATATTATGGCTTTTAATAGTAAAAATACATATAACTAAAGGATGTCTGCTGTTGTATGAAGTGTAAGTTTCCTATTCTATGACAAGTATTATGAAATCTTTGTTATGTTATATAATTATCCACATGAAAAAAGGGGTTGCTGTACATTTCATTGCACGAGACACACTTGTTAACTATAAAGGGAAAACATTCAGTTTCGCATAAAAGTGTAATTTATAGTATATAACGTTTCAATAATATTTTAACCACATGGATAAAAAGTGGATCTTTCACAAAACAACAATAAAATCTACATGTTAGTCTGTTCACTCTTTGACAAAAAGACAACAACGAGCGAATTTACGTGTTTCCCTCAACATCTGTTGTGCAGTGACATTCTATGGATGACGTCAAGGAGTGCTACGACGTCACGCAACGAGGTTATAAAAAAGGAAAATCTTGTAAAAAGAATGTTGCAGCACTACTCCTATTTGACGTTTCCGTATGGTCGTAAAATGGGAATGAATTTGATTTGTATCTTAGCCTGAGCTTCCCGGCTTCAAGAGGGAAATAGATTGACTTAGATGGATTGAAGTCGTTAGAATAGTACCATACACATCAGTTCGTGTTGCGCGGTCATTACACAATCATACCAGTAGATAGCGTGAAAACACTAACCTTCTATCTCCTGGTAGCTACCTTCATTTTCCTCATCCCGGATATATGAGACCACGCTGATGGAAATGAATAATAATATTAAACATGATCTCGGACCGGATATGCTGTGATACACTATCAATTTACATTGTGCTCCAAACTGTATATAGTTTTACTCCCATAGCCATGCAAAGTCATATCACTGCGTAGAGTGTAACTATTTATTCACTTCACTAGAGTATCGATGGCAGGTACTCACCGATTATTAATGTATCCTCTCTCTGAAAGTAACAGTGTTCTGCAGTTAATTAGGTGTATAAACAACATATGACTCTTTATCATTGCATAGCTTCAAACTAATTGTAAATAGTTTCAACAATAATATGTGACGCCAGCGTTATCCAAATCATTTGAATGATAAGCACGCACTATTTATCAACAGTGGTGCATGTGATGCTTCGTGATGACCGCTTTTAAAGTTTATCCAAGTTAATTGAAATTTCTTTTCAAATGCTAATTTTGACTTACGACACCAACCTTCAATTTCCTGGTAGCTCCCGTCTGTTTCAGCGTCCGGGGTATATGTGACCACGCTGAGGGAAAGAAATGTTGAAAGTGATTGGAATCGAAGGAACTAATCAAGGCAATAAGCAAACAGATAAATTGTGACACAATCAATTTAGATTTTGTTCCAAATTGCACAGATACAGTTTTCTTCCTTTAGCCATGCACGTTAAAATCGCAATGTTTAGGTGAACTATTTCCCCACCTCACTTGAACGATAGCAGATACTCACTGGTTATGAATGGGTCCCCTCTCTGAAAGTTAGAGTTATGTGTAGATAATTGTATACAGGTTTCAAGATAAATAACGGATCAAATAATTACTCGTATTATTACATACCTTTGAAATAATAATAAATAATTTGAACTTTGCACAACATGTGCCTGTTTATCCAAATTTACGAAACAAACGCGTCAAAGAAGTTCTACTTGTTATGAAGCCAGTGTTAAACACCTACAGAAGCCGGGCATTGTAGTTTCAAATAATCTTTTCTATCACAACTACACAAAATGGTTGGCAGATGTGAATGCCCTAAATAAAACATAACTCTATCTCGACTACTCTTTCATGTTGACAATTATGTTAGAGAGATGAAATGCTGAGATGATATATTGGGTTTAATGAGATAATAATAATAATAATAATAATAATAATAATAATAATAATAATAATAATAATAACAATATAGACATTTAATTTATATGTTCAAACACTGTCTAGTTAATCGCTGGATTAAATTCAAATCATTTTACATCATAAATGACAAAATTCAATCTATCTCGGCTGCTCTTTCATTAAGTCAGTTTGGCAGTAGAAAATGGAATGTATATATCCGATATTGATTCTTTTGTCGTACTGTTTATGATTAGTTAATGCATACCTTGACGGTTATGTTGGAAATTACTCGATATTGGGTTGAATGAAAGGAGAGCCAGATTGACACTGTCAAGTAGGCATAACCCTAGTTGCCTTTAATTCACCTCATCACCTCATCTAAGTTTACAAGTGAGCTTATGTCATTGTGTTCCCATTTTCAACATCGCTTCGCTGACACACTGTTTTTATGAGAATGAAAGCTTATACTAATCACAGTAATAATAATCTTCCTTAAACGCTGGTGTCAGATTCCCCTTCCTCACACAGACTTGGTTTTGATCCTTTAACAGTGACTAATGCTGAATATCAAGGACAGGGAAACATGGCCTTCTTTTCGTTTATTCAAGATAAAATACAAGGAAGTAAACTATATAGTTGAAGAATAAATCCACTGATATCATATGTCAAGCCCCACACATTCCACCTATCACCAAATCGTCATTGACATGCTGGTTTTATAGGATGAGACTTAGGGTAACAACAACTATATAATGTCTTCCATGTTTCGCGTATTTCGTGTTCATCAATATCGTTTTCATTTAAGCTTTTACTTTAATACTGAGACTCGGACGAACGATTTTCGCATAACGTCACACAACCCTAACTATACACATCAAATACCGTTATTGCATTAAATCTTCATGAATAACTTTAAATCCAGAATATATAGTGTACAGTTTGCAGTCAGAAAGGAAAATTGTTTCGTTGACATCAGTTGATCAGGTGAATACACGGCTCATTCGTAGTAAATCTAACTAAAGGTCAGTTTCTGATATCTTGATCAAGGAACCAGTGGTCAATAATGTGAACAACGACATACGCTGCCTGGTTTATGTGCACACAACCACTTACTTCACATATCAAATTTAGGAGATAAACCTAGTGTGTGTTTAATAAAGAGCTTTTGAAAGTAGATTTGATACCTGAATTTTTTATTAGAAACCGAAAGCAATAACTCTTTACACTATCTAAGTATTTGTACGTCATGTTTTCCGCCTGTCATATACTGCCACACTTGCTGGGAATAATGTAGAAACCGCGACACGTTATTCGGCAACATTAATAAAGTAAGTTCAATATTTGATATTGCCAAACGGGTGGGTTTCCGAAAGAAGTGCTTCTGAAATTTTCGTTCGTGGTAATATGGTCATCTGCCAAATCATGACCAATAATAATGCAGGATTCTAAAATATTATGATAGAATAGTTAATGTGAGTCCCACGTTGTACTCATTCACACTCACACAACATAGTATTACCTCCACCTGTCTGTTTTCTACGAACAGCAAATATGACGACCACGGCGATGACGACGATCAGCACAGAACAAACAGCAGCCACGTAGACGATGGAAGCGACGCCAGCTTCAGTAACCTCACGTGCTGGAACATTAAATAAATAACAAAAGCATTGTTTAGGATTCTAATGTTTCCGATATATAACATATGGAATAAGCAGTCACTTTAATTTCTAAATGTGGTGAACTTCAGTAAAATTGTCGCACATCTTACGAGTTATCGGAACAGTTTCGTTTGTCGAATTAAGTAGTAAATAAATAATCGATTTCTGTCTTTAATACAAATCTTTGTTAATTTGATTCTGAATGAACAGAAACGCTTTGCCATTCCAAAGAATCTCAAGAATGACATTGACGTGATGTCACATCATCAGACTATAGTTAATATTACCTTTTTAAATTATTAATCATCTCTGTGGGTTTAGATAAAGTTGAAATGAATGAAAATGAAATTGGTCATTACAGGAGTTATCCAAATAAATGTTACAGATTCTGTCTATCACCAGCAATGTTGTAAAAGTCTTACAGAAAACGTCCAGCGTCAGGTTCCGTGATGTATTCCCATATCTGTTGTTGACGTGACAGATGTACTGTCCAGACACAGATCTGTCTACAGCTGGTATATACAACATATCATTCCTCTGTCCTGTGATCTCCCTCTGTCTGGATGTGTCCCACCAGGTCACAGTGCAGGCGGGGTGACAGTCAGCAGAACATCTCACTGTGATAGGTTTCCCTTCTTCTGCCTTTAGCCTGTCACTTGCACCGTCAAACTGTATCTGGTCAGGTCCAACTGGAATGTTTGATATACTATGGTCAGAAGTTCCACACTGTATCGGCAACTAAACGGAAAATGCTACTGCACGCGACATCCTTCTGATCCTAAATAATGTGATGTACGAGTACAGTTTGGTTTTGTAATATATGTGTGAATAGCGAGATAAACATGTGCGGTTTGTTTCTGTGACTTGTACGTGTGTGACTACTGGAAATACACATGTGACGGAGGGGCAAATATTGTACAAGGGGGAGGGCTAGGGGGGATGAGTGAGTGAGTGAGTGAGTGAGTGAGTGAGTGAGTGAGTGGGGTATAATAACGCTTCTAACAGTATTCCAGTTATATCACGGTGTGTCGGCTTTATGTGGTAGGGAAGCCCGAAGTGATGCAGGTCTGATCAGACGTTTGCCACTTCGGTGAAACCCACGAGCACGGGTATCGTGCTGACAAACCTATAAGACATAATCGGGGCGAACCTTGATTCGAACCAACAATCAACTCTGCACAGGAAATCGCGGTGCCTTAGACGACAGGGCCCTGGAAGGAGGGATGAAAAGGAGCGGTTCAGTGAAGGGTTGAAAAAGAGGAAACGCTGTAATTTTCACTATCAATTAAGGTCAGTGTTTCTAGTTAAGGGAATACCCGATCATAAAATATTGAGGTTATACACACTTTGCATGATGATCTTGACCTTGAGAGTCAACCCATCTTATTACAGAATTATCAGTTTTACATATGTAGTGTTGCTTAAGAGTATGTTGGTGAGTACGTATGTGATAGACAAAATTGGAGCCAACATGTAATAAATGTTTTCGTTGTAACGTGCAATGACAAGATATTATTTCATGTTTAAGACGGGTGGAGAGGTAGCCTAGTGGTTTGAGCGTTCGCTCGTCACGTCGAAGACTCGGCACAAAGATTATAGTTTTACCTAAATTAAAAATGCACTGATGCTCTGAGCATTTGAATTTGTCGAACCTCCAAGCAGCAACTGGATGTACAATTTTGTATGTGAACATGTATGTTTCATTGCTAACAGACGGACCGACCTATGGACAACGGACGTCGGACGAAGCCCGTTATACAATTTTACACTGACAAAAAGGGATCATTTAACTGGTGATTAGCAACAGTGCATATAGCGTTCATATCTGATGGTACCTGCAAGGATTTCTTCCAGATAGAATGTATACAAGTATTCTCAGAATTCTCAGAAAAGAATGTACAAAGCATGTATCATAGCGTGCTGGAAAATTGTTGCTTTTGAAACAGGAGTAAACGTGGCGATAAATAATAACAGTAGCGCACAAATGACAAAGTCAAGATTAGGTAAGAGATATAAGTTTTCTTATGATCTAATACATGTTTATTTTGTTACGGAATTTGCATTTGCAACGCGGGTGTGTGTTAATGTGGCATGGCCGTGGTTTACAGTGAAGACAGGTGAGACGCACAAATCAGAATCACGCATGGACGCTGAGTTCAGGGCCATCAAACAATGATCAATCAATGAGTAATCAATTGAAAGTTGAAAGATTAATATGTCGTGGCGTGAGTATGGTTTTACGCCGATTTTAGCAATATTCCAGCAATATCACGCCAGAAATGGGCTTCACACATTGTACCCATGTCGGAAATCGAACCCGGGTCTTCGGCGTGACGAGCGAACGCTTTAACCACTAGGCTACCCGACCGCCCCTGCATACCTGAGAAGGTAAATGAAAGGTGTTTAAATATTTCAAGCTCGAGTTTTATGGGGCCACTACATCGCTCTGTAGAAAGGACGATTTAGCATAGTAACTTAGCCATTGTGAATTGGAATACATCCTTTCTACCTAGATTTTCAACACATGCAATATATATTCTAAGAACAACAGTATACCATATTTTAAATTATGCTTCTTAAAACTGTTCCATTAAAATACACCGTCTCCTTGAATTGATATATTGTTGTTGAGACTACATCCAAATTGCTAACAACCATAAATGGTGTATGAATATGGAATATGTACCTCGAGATATCGCTCAATGGAGGTTGGACTGAGGTTTCACCATATGCTATTCAGCAATGTTCGTTCAACATGTCATGTTATTTGGTATTTGTTTATTTGGTAATGGTTCACATATGTTTTATTTTTACCTTGATTTTAGATTTTAGACATGCTCATAACTCATCTAAAAAAGTATTTTTCACTCGTAAACATCCCTAGACCGCCTCCGTGGTCAAGTAGTAGAGCGTCCGCCCGGAGAGCGCAAGGGCCGGGCTTCGATCCGACACGACCCGCCGACATACTTTGATAATACTTCCGAACATAAACGTTATTATGAACAATGCACAATGCTTCAGAAAAAAACAGTTCACAGAAAACTGTCGCTTAGAGTCACAGTTGCAAAGATAAGATACTTCGTTCTCATACCTAAAACAAGGTAAGTGATTACTCACAGTGAACATCCAGTACATGTCCGTGACTCCAGTCAGACTCCAGCCCCTCCTCCACAGCCTGGCAGGTGTAGATTTCTCCCTGGTTCTCTTTGCTGATGTGGGTTATTGTCAGGACATCTCCGCCTGTGTGAGGCCTATCACCAGATGCTAGCAGGGTCCTGTTCCTCCTCCAGGTGTAGGTCATGTTCAGTGGGGGGTGGTCCGAGGGCAGACTCAGGGAGGAGGAGGAGCATGTCAGGGTGACATTCTCACCTGATACAGCTGAGGGAGGTCCAGTCATGGTAGGTGTGGTCGGCTGCTCTGTTAAAATATTAATATTTCAAAATAAACCAGTCAACAAGGACCATAGAATTGTGTCGTTTTATATATCTAGTAAATGGAGTTCAAATTAACAATGTGATATCATGATGACTTGACCATTATATTACTGTAATATTCGAGCCTCTTACATCTATATTTTATCACCAACAACCGTTGAGGGTATTACCCCAAATCATGTCAGTATTCCATGATTACACTTTACTCAAATTAAATTGTTTCAGTTCTTTTCTTCATTATGTTATGTCATGGAATTTCCTTTGTAGCCAATGGCAGGAGGTTTTGAAATCTTAGAATTACAAATGAAAGTGATAATTCCCATGGCACATTTCCCGTGACACAACTGCGAGGCACAAGTGATGAATGTGACGAGCATGATCTGCCTTGCGAAATACTTGAACCCTGCTGACCAAAGGTGTATGAAACATTAAAAAGTAACATACCACTCCTATCCTTATACTTCTAACGGTTTTACTTTCTTCACAACTAAAGGGTCTGCTACCAGTGATTACTTTCTGACATGGTTTATTTATTACCGCAATGCAGCTTAATGCACTTTCATTTCTTAGAATATTCTTCGGTTAATCACACGTAATACTTACGTGATACAACGAGGATCTGCCTACATCCAGGCATTTTCTTTTTGCCGTTTCCTTGACAGTAGTAGGTACCAGCGTCCTGTACAGTAACATTGTAGATGGTAAACCTCAGCTGTCCGGTCTGTGATGGTGAGTCCTCCCCTGTGTATCTGATCCTGGTCGTGTAGCCGGTGTGACTGGTGTTGAGTACGCCTACATGGTGTGACTTAGGTATAACCACTAACAGTCTGTCAGCTTCTGAACCATCCACCCATACGTAATATAGGTGGCTGACATCAGCTGGGTTCATGGTTATGTTAACATCGTAGCCAGCACGTGTGACGGTGTGTGGGTATTCAGTTGTCATGGAGGCAACAGCTGCACACAAAACACATAAACGTCATAGACACGTATGTCGGTTAACAGTTAATAGAAATATCAAATAATGCGAACTATTAAGGCAAAAATAAGTTTTAATAAGCACAGCTGAATATTATACCAAATTATGTTTACGAAAACATATACATACCACACACATATATTCCTCCGGCCACGACGTAAAACAGAACCATAACCGTCACTGTGGTGAGTTAATACTGCCAGATCTGGTTTGTGATTTGTTTGTAAAGCCACACAATATTCAGTTTCGCTCCATAATATTTCCTTATAAAAGTTGGTCATTTCCCGTTGTACGTGAAGTTGGGGAAATGTATTACTCGACACTGTACATATCTTTGTGTAGACATGCCCCCTGTGGACCCGGGTAAGAATAAGTTACCCCATCACTCTATTGTTTGTTTGGAGAGGCTCAGTGACTTGACTGATTGTGACTCACAGACAGCTTCCAATCACAGGTTTACCTTGCCCAGACTGAAGCGGCGGCACGTGGGGCTCAGTCGTATAAGGCGCCGCGATTCGCTGTGCAGAGTTGCGTCCCCTGGGCATGCCAGAAACCTAGGATTGTAGGTTCTAATCCCGATTATGTTTCTAGGTTTGTCAGCACCATACCCGTGCTCGTGGGTTTCACCGAAGTGGTAAACGTCTGAGACCAGCATCGCCTCGACATATCTGTAGTACTGTAAAAAGCGGCGTTACACCTAACTCACTCACTCACTCGTTGTCAGATTGGTGCGTGGGAACTTAGTGTATGGGGCTTGTTTGACCGAACGTATCACAAATAGAATGAAGCTATAAACCTGCTCACATTGACATTATCAATGGAACTTATAGCATGGAACTTCGCCCTTCGTCTTACGCCCTTTCGGTAGGTTGCAGAGTGTGATTATGTATAACATATTTAATATCAACGAATTATATGGTAAAGGTCCCTGAAACGAGAAACATTTGAATGGCGTTAAACATTTTACATTTATAACAAAGTAGGGTAAGGTACCACCATGGCATCTCTCTGTTGAGGGAGTGTTGAATGTCCAATTCTGTGTACCATATGTTCCTAATAATCATGATATTTTTTTACATACGCACTTTATATGTTCAGTGGGGTTTTCTAACATGATTTGCTGACGTTGAAGGTTAAGTTAGAAAAATATGACTTATCCTTAAAATTATTATTAATCCCCATAATGCAAAGCTACGGGTTTTTATAACAGTTTGCACTTCAGTTTAATGAATAAATAAAGTCAACAAAACTTCCTTAAATAAACCTAATCTAATGTTGTTGTTTTTATTAACATGGCTTGAGTGGATGAATACAGACTCGCAAGTGCCAGTGACGACGTGTTTGTAACGTACACAATGAAAAATATACTCAACAACAAAAGTTCCTGTGACACCATTATTTTAGTGTATTTTTCAAACTAGTAAAGTTTGGTTTTCAATATTGTAGTACATGTATGAAATCAAGTCACAAAAACGCAACAGCTACAGAAAAGCATGCATTCCATGCAAAAGTTGACTTTTTGCAAGCCACATGCATTTCACTACCCAAGAATGGGTATAAAAACATGTGCGTTAACAGGATTCCATATGCATTGTTAAGCCTCGTGCTGACAACAACCACTCAGAAAAACAATATATTTACGCCATTATTCATCATTCAACATGCCATGCCTGTCCGAAAATGGGTGTCTGCGAGCCATTGGTATACTTGAAGCAGGATGGAGTCAACGTGATGTTGCATGACCATTTAACGTCCACAGAAACACCATTTGGTGGCAACGTTGACAACAGACGAATGCAGTCAGAGACCATCCTCGCAGTGGCAGGCCACGCGTAACCAATAATTGACAAGACAACTGGATTCGAACAACACACCTACGAAAACGATTCCAGCCAGCAACAGTGACTGCAAGAAGCATCTCTGGCCTTCGACGAATATCTTCACAAACTGTACGTCGTCGCCTCAGATATGCAGGCATTGTAGCCAGAAGACCCGCCAGGCGTCTCATTTTGACAGGAAACCACCGTCAAGCACGTCAAGCACGTCTACAGTGGTGCAGACAGCGTCAACGCTGGAGGGCCATGCAGTGGGGACAAGTTCTATTCACTGACGAGTCTCGTTTTAACCTCAGCCACAGCGATGGATTCGAGTGTACCGACGTCGAGGTGAACGTTACGTCAATCATTGTGTCATGGAAGAAGATCGGTTCGGGGGTAGCAGCGTTATGGTATGGGGTGGGATTACACCAAGACAGAGGACCCGTTTGATAGTGGTAGAGGGAAATCTCAAAGGACAGCGCTACCGCGACGAGATCATCGGCCTATAACTTTCCATACGTCACTGTATACGGAATTGGGATATGTGCTGTTGAAATGTTTGTTTAAAGGAAATTTGCTTTGTTAATCATTTAATGTAATCAATACGAAACCAAATATATGCTATGAGGAAGTGTTAACATATGAAATGCATAGGAAATTGCGACGAGTAAGTTCATGATCTAGTCAGTTGGATGTATTAAGTCTCTTTGAACAGTATTTCACTGATATGGAGGCGTCTCAGCCCGATGTTGGTGGAAACCAAAGGCGTCGCAGGTCGTCAGTGTTTTGGTGACATAAAAGCGACAAAACCATCTCCATATTCATAAGAAATTGCAGTTAAATCAAAAACCGACTACAACATAAACATATATCTTTGGTTATGAATCACTATGTAGTAAGTGAGTGGGTGAGTAAAAACTGGCTTCACTCGTCCCATGTGGTGAACCGAGCCCTGTCAGTCAGGGTTATGATCGAATTCTTTAAGCATAAGACTATAGGGATGCAACTTTTCATCGGTTGATAACACAGACATTAGCACACTGAGACCCTAATTTGGCACTACATTGTAAGTATTCAAGGTGTTCTGAATGATTATAGGGATACCATGTTACACGCTTCAATGTCTTGCGTTTTGTGACGCTACAGGGAAACGACAACTGGTACATGTTTTCCCAGATCGATATATGCAGTGTGTGAGAGAGAGGGGCCGTGCTAAAAATATTTAAGTGAAAGCGTGTAGCATCGGGTGCGTCGATAAAACATGGGTGGTATACACGTACGAGTTTCCGCCCTTTAAACTTTTTAAACATCTTAAGCTGCCACAGCGGTACGCAAAATACAGTGAGTTGGATCTAGTGCTGCTTTAATGAGTTTCAGCTATATCATAGCGTGTCTGCTTTGTGTGAGTAAATTTGAAATCATGACTTTAGGATATATGCACGCAACTCTTTCAAGCAAATTGCGGCGCCTTATACCACACGAATGTTATCTCATTCCGTTCATCTTCCGAGTATTTCTTTCTCTTCATCTCTCGCCGTCCATTTCCTAAGATCTTCCCGTCATCTCTTCTCCTTCAGCTTCCCTCGTTTTAAGTAATGACACAAATGTAATACCGTACCAAGTTTGAATATTTCATTGTGAAAAATACACTCTCTCAAAAAAGAAACGCAACCCCTATATTTTCAAGATGTTTATCTCAATATTCAAGTTATTATAACACATTTATTATTGAAGACAACAATATGAAATTTGGCATGGTGGCAGTACAGTTATGCAAGTTTAAGTCCAGACTTCGACAGTTCTCTCACTAAGATTGACTTGACGCAATGGGGCGTCTTTCTCAGTACCTCGTATGAGCGCCACGAGCTGCGATCACAGCATTACACCTCCTATGAACAGAACGGATTAGACGCCGGATTCTTTCCTGAGGGATTGCTCTCCACTCCTCCTGTAGTGCAACGGCTAGTGCATCCAACGTCTGCGGCGGCGGTGTACGTGCACGTACTCGTCGGTCCAGATAATCCCAAAGATGTTCGATTGGGTTGATGTCTGGTGATCGGGAGGGCCATGGTAACACGTTGACGTTAGAATTCTGGAGAAAATTCACTGTTGCATGAGCAGTGTGCGGCCCGGCGTTGTCGTGTTGATAGAGCTCCCTCTGTCGGTCGATAATCGGCAGAA